TAAGCCACAACACCAATTTTCTGCGAATGAAGACACAGCAACAATATTTAGTGCCATTGCTAAAGTCATGAGCGACGCAGCCAAACACCTCTCACCTAACCGATTTAGGATATTTGCCACACACATTTTTTTCAGTGTACGCTTGAAAGATTTATCGACGATGCACAATTGTACAATTTATCAACTTGCACAAATTGTTTTTAATTTAATACTAAGAATGGATACTGGAATACTAAGAAAAAGTCTTCCTTTGAAATATAAACTCACAAAACTTTATACTTTCGTTTTGTAACACTTATTGGAATCCTCGTTCGAATCACTTGAATAGATAAAACGAAAACGGAGAACAAATGCTTTATTTTACACAAGTAGCAAATAATATAAAAATGTAAAACACTCACCTTACGATTTCTCCGCCGTTGCCCGATGCCTCCTGGGCCGCCTCCTCCTCTCAGATTTCCTTGTTGCACTCACACAACACACTCACTCGCGAAGATCATCGAAATTTCCGGCACTCCCGTACGCGATGCGCGAACGCCAAAGCCGCCACAAATTTCTTTCTCGTTTCCCGAAAATGGAACGAATTATACGAAATCGACAGATAATTTAAACGCGTGGTGCGTAAACGAGATGTAATCGCGACAAATTACCACGGTTTACATTCATATCTTACAATTATACGAGTTCGTCTCGCGAAATCTACGTTGATAAAAACCGCGGCTTGAACGCGCAAATCATTTTTCAGTTACAATATTTAGTCGACGAACGTTACTTGTTAATAATAAACGCGTACGAATCAATAGCGTTTTGTCCGCACATTCATCGCGATCGCGTCTTGGAAATTGTTAACGCGAAAGTAATACGACGCACGGAGCGACTCTCGCTGCTGCCTGCCGGCACGACGTTCGGCGAGCGAGTGATAAGAGCGGCGACCTTCAGGTAAACAATGGCCCGCGTAACGTCGTACGATACCGCGCCGGGAGAAAAACAACAATGAACGTTGAGAGTTCGTTGTCCCGCCTACGTAATTGAAAATTCTGTACTGAATATATTTTACATTACCTTGTTCCGCGACTGTTGCTACGTTTTGCGTATCATTCTGCGGACTTATTGGTATTGATTAAATCAACGATTAATTCTGTTCAATTGAGAAAATGTTTCGAAACAAAAATCGTTGTTACTTAAATTCGAATTATTTGGATTAGAGATTTTGCCTCAATAGTTAATGCATACAAATGTATATTACTAAATCACAAATCTTCATTTATTAGGGCAAAAATCATCGAATTATTTACTTTAATATAAATTGGTATTAAATACTTTATTGGAAATAGCATTGCGCGCGCTATTTGGCTTTAATTTATATTTATTCACGATCTTCTTCGCACATTAAGAATTTTTTCATGTGAAGAAGACGTGATCTGACGTTGACACTCTATCGAAATACATATTATATGATCTCCGCACTGACAGCTACTCGCAGTAGAAAGCCAAGCGAGAAAATCAGCATCGCGGAACAGCGCCAATAATAAAATCTCTTATACATATACCTTTTTAGAAAGAATATTAGTTACCGTTGTATCTTATTAGAAGAATAAGAATTTCTTTCATTTTCCTTCACTCAATTAGATATTTAAATTTAACTTCTTTTTCTTTAACATTTTGTTTAGTCTCCAACTTTCTTTATGTATATTTTTACACAAATGTTTTTAATGCATTTATTGGCTATAAAATAGAATGTTTGTAGACGCACATAGATTAGGCTTAAGCCTGATCTGCAAAATACTCTTCACATCTAGAAACATTCTATTTTATATAAGCAAATCAAAACGCTTCAAAAACTTGTCGACAACGTACAATGTATACTTACATTGTATCAACTTGCACAAATGTTTTAAATGCATTTATTGACAATAAAATAGAATGCAAAAGTACATTGTAGGTCAGGCTTAAACTCTTTGAACCGACGCTGTAGCGTGAAACTTTGACTATCGGAGACAAATAATAAAATAACCAACGATAATGTAATCTTGGCTTTTTGTCAAAATTCAAACTGGCCACTGCAATTTAGCTGAAATTACTAATTGCAAGTCATTTCTTTGCATCTTGAATCTTCCCTTTCCGCGGTGATGAAAGGCCTTCGGTTTCGAGCCGAAGAAATTCGAGCCCACCCTTTTGTACATTTCTACGAGACAACAGCCATAATGGCGAGTTCACGAACGCGATGATTTCATTACGCAACGAGCGATATCGCCGTTATCGCGGAATCGACGCGCGTGATCGCGGACAGGTTTCTTTCCCAGCCAAGTCTTTTTCCAGGACGAGGAGGGGCGCGAGAAAACGGGGCGGAGCCGCGGGTTTTTTCCCTCCCCGGAAAACCGCCGCGGACTTTCCGTCGCGTCACGCGCGACACGCATTGCATAAGAACATTATCGATTAATCGAGCTGCTCCCGAAGTGAGCCGCGCGGACGAGGCGAATGCTTTTTCCACGTCGCCCGAGGCGTTCACGAACTTCCCTCGCGCCGTACGTCGCGGATCTCAACGCGACCGTTTCGTCGCCGATCAATTTCGGTGCCGTTTTACCTCGCGTCGAGGCTCCTCGACGTTCCCCTCCGCTAACGAGGTCGCCCCAGTGAGAAATGATTCGTCGAAACGAATTCGACAATGTCGACGTCGACTCGGCATCAATTTAACGGCGTACGATTCGACATCGTTTCAACATCGAGCCATTTCTCGCTGGGGCTCGCCCGAAATATTTTCCCAGTGAGAAACGATTCGTCGACGAGCCATTTCTCGCTGGGAGCTTTTACCGACTCGCGTTATCCCGCGAGTACCGTCCACCGTGCCGGTCGCGACGTCCGTCGTCTCGCGATTTACGCGAAAGGGCGCGGAGAGATCAGTCTGCGTCGCGTCCGGGGACGCGCGCGCGAGAGAGAGCGAGAGCGAGACAGCGCGAGACAGCGGCCGGTCGTTCCTCTCCCTTGGCGCGTCTCGCTCCTCCTCTCCTTCTATTTTTCCCGCCGGTCGCGGGCGAACCCGCAGGAACGCGAGCGGCGCGTCTCTCCCCGTCGCCTCCCCGACCCCCTTCCCCCCCCCCCTGCCCCGCCGGCCCGTCCGTTGGCGTTTCGAGCGCGAAACAGCTGATAGCCCGTCCCTTTAATCGCGTCGCCGAACTCTCGCGGAGTGGCGAGGTTGAGTCGCTGGCGACCGGCCGTCGTGGGACCCTCCGCCGTCTACGTTGCCGCGTGCGATCGGCGCGGGTGAGTATCCCGCGCGTCCGGCGGCGTCGCCCGCCGGCGCGCGAGCCGCCTCTTCTAGGTTAGGGAGGGTTTTCCGCGAAGAGCGGCGTACGGCCGGGCGCGACGCGGACGCGCCACGGCCGCCATGTTCGACTCTTTCGCGTGGGGCGTCTGGGGCCGCGCGACGTCGAGGCAACGCGCGCGCCTCGTCGCCGAGGGAGGCGAGGACGCGTGAATCTCGCCCTCGTCGCAGCGAGACTCGGGACGAAACGCGCGTCAGGATCCTCCCTCTTTGTCTCCTTGCGCCTCCATCTCTCTCCCTCTCTCCCTCTATATATCTCTCTCTCTCTCTCTCGCTCTCCTCGCGATGGAACGCGAGGCGCCGGGAATCTTGTCGGCGCGAACGTGCCGTCTCTTTTCGTCTCGTCCGGGAGCCCGTACGCGCCAACGCCACCCTCCTCCGCGCGGAAGCGAGAGCGACGACGCGCGCGCGACGCGACACCGGCGGTATACGCGCGAGGGAACGGCCCGGGGCGTTCAAATCGCGCGCGCGACGCGCCGCCATGACGCCTCGCGCGCGGCGTTCCGAGCGCTATCGACGTGACATCATCAATGGCCGCCACCGTGTTGTCTGTGCTCGCAGCGGAGCGCGGCACCCACGCAGGCCGTCGCGGAAGCTCACGGGGACGCCGATAGCCGCTATCTCGCACGGGGCGCCCTGGGCCGGAAGACATGGGCTCGAAGAAGCACAAAAAGCACAAGCGCGAGAGGCACGAAGGTGAGGACGCGCGAGCGCGAGAGAGCCGAGACCTTCCCCCCCCCCCCCCCTCGGTCGAGAGATTCCCGGTCGTGTCCCGCGTCTCCTCGACGGAGGCTCCGGGATTTCCCCGTCGCCACGAGATCTCTCCTCCCTTTCCGCCGCCCGATCCGTCGATCGTCGCCGACGACGACCGTTCGCCTCGTCGGTTAACGGCGCACCTGCGTGTGCCGGGTTTACCCTCGCCGACGGGGAGGCCCGCTCCGCGGAGCGGCCTCCCCTCGAGGACTCTCTAACTAGACGTAAATAGACCCGCAGGAACGTCGCGTTCCTGCGGCATCATCGCACCACGCCAGAGCTGTGTGCTTGTATGTCAATCATGAAAAAAATAATTGAGGATTCGAATGAAAAGCGAGAGGACGGGGACGCCTCGGGGCGACGGACCCGCCGGCCCCCTCGGCTCTCGCGAGAACGAGTGCGCTCTTCGCTCGATTTTCATTCGGGATCCTTCTCATACTCATAGTTTAATGATGCACAGGAATTTTGACTTCGTTTTCACCACGGACAAACTGAGAGAGTGAGGTCGGAGTAGAAGTGAGGCGGATTCGAAAGTATAAACCGAGCGTTCCGCAGCGACAGGCGCGACGTGGAAGTAAGTGTCGAGTAACAACGGACATGGACTGGTTGCACGACAAGAAGCTAGCTGCGCTTCGAGAATTATCGAACGTCTCTCCCCCCCAACCCCCCTTTCGTTTTTTTTTCTTGTCTGTTTGAATCCGTTGAAGTGCAACAAGACTCTTGCGGCCAAGAGAGAGAGAGAGAGCGAAATGTTCTCCTCGCCGCCAGCGTGAGGTGTTGTACGTTCAGATGCGATGCACAAACTAGCCTGTTGCACTTCAATCGTGTAATTCCTCTGGCTGTTATGTATTCGTGGCGCCGAGAGCCACACATGCTTCGCTTGGCCTCCTAGCGGGGCCAATCTTAATGATTGCTCACCCTGATCCCCGCCGATATTATTCGATTTGATATAACGATGGAGATTATTTTCTATATATTACGATTTGTTTGATTTAAGTCGAGCTACTTCCATCTCGCTTTCCAGTTTGTTGAATGTGAAAACAAGGTCGCACTGTCCTGTTAATAAGATCATTTTTACATTATCGTGGATACAATCCCCATCCGCCGCCTCATCTCCCTAACCGGCCCGTACAATTTTATATTCGTCCACGACTTGCATCTCTTCTCGCCATCCTCGTGTCATGCAACATTTCTGGCGTCATATATATATTTTTTTTTGTGTTACCATATCGTACTCTCGTCCTGCATAATCTTTCCGCAAGATCTCCCCCCCGATTGCTGCATGTGGCACATTTACAACGGATCATACGTATGGCTTTTAGAGCATCAACTTTAGTACACTGCTTAAAGAGAAGTCGTTTGAAACGTTTCGCTCGGAACGATGTCTAATGGGCGTGCTCTCTTCTTTTTCTTCAGCCGAGGGCCAGTACACAACGACGGACAAGCCGCCCAGTCTCAAGTTGATTTTGAAGGTAGGAGGTAGTACTGGAACGCCCGAGCACGGCGGTGAGTCGCCGAGCCAGGCCGCGATGCTGTCGCAACAATACCAGCAACAATTGGGTCTCAACTATTCCGTCAGCCAGGGGGACGCGGAGTACGACCGGTATGTCGGGCACAAAAAGCTCAAGAAGAAGAAGAAGAAGAAAGACAAGCGACACAAGCATCATCACAAGGATAAGAAGAGACGGAGAGAGGAGTCGAGTCAGGAGTCAGTTGGCGACGCCGATGAGAGCCTGGCCGAGCCTGCGCCGAAGAAAGCCTGTACCAATCCCAACCAGCTGCTGCCGCCCAGGCCGCCGTCCAGCGGCGAAGTGAGGGTCGGCGTTAGTAACGTGAGTTCTCTGTCGCCTCATCGCGAGCCTAGAACGTGCGTCCTCAGGAAGATAGCGGAGCGCACGCCCCTCCAGAGGCTGCTGGAGCACCTGTTGAGGTCCATGGAGAAGCGGGATCCGCAGCAATTCTTCGCCTGGCCGGTCACAGACAGCATCGCGCCCGGTTACTCGCAGATAATCACGAATCCGATGGACTTCAGTACCATAAAGCAAAAGATAGACGACAATAACTACCAGAATTTGCAAGAGTTCGTAGACGACTTCAAGCTCATGTGCGACAACGCCATGACGTATAATCATCCCGACACCATCTACTACAAGGCGGCGAAGAAGCTGCTGCACGTCGGCTTGAAGATGGTCACGCCGGAGAAGTTGCGGCAGCTCAGGCCGGTCCTGATGTACATGAACGATATTACGAAGGAGGAGCTCGGATTTGAGCTGGGCAACGAGGATCTTAACAATCCGGACGCTCCCGCGACGGAGGAGCAGATAGAGCGGGAGCGCGAGCAGGAGGAACGTAACGAGGAGGCGGAGGAGCTTAGAAAGGAGAACCAGAGAAAGATGAGGCTGGCTAGCTTAGGTAAATTCGAGGCGATACCAGACGACATGACCCCAGATGAGATACTGAAGCAGGCTAGAGGCGCGGCGAAAGCGGCGGCGGAGAAGCTCAGTCTGAAGAGGGTCAACTCGAAGATGGGCTTCCTGCGGCAGAAGAAGGACGGCACCACCAGCCTGCAGATCATCGTGCCCGGGGACGGGATCATTCCCGGGACCAATCAGAGACCCGTGTCGCTGGGGCAGCTGATAGGCAAATTGAATCACGGTACTGGAGCCTTGGCTGGATTTCGGGAGGATCGGAGGAACATGTCGAAGCCGGTGAAACCCCTCTATTATGGCGCGTTTGGTTCATACGCACCGAGCTACGACTCGACGTTCGCGAATCTCACCAAGGAGGAGACCGACCTAGTCTATCAAACTTACGGTGACGAGACTGCCGTGCAATATGCCGAATCTATACTAGACTTCGCCAAGGACTGTGATTACACGTTGACCATGGTCGACGATCTGCTGGACATTCTCACGAGTGGCGATCATAGGAAGACGAAGAAATTCCTCGAGGAAAAGCGAAGGCTGAGGGAGGAGGAGGAGAAGATCAAGCATTTACTGGAGAAGCCTATGCAGGACGTGAATCGTAACATTCCGTTGATGGACAATGTCAAGGTTGATCTCGAGCAGCTCAAGACACTGACGGATATCGGTATCGACATCAACTTCTTAGAGAATTTAGGTAATTATGGAAATAACCATTTATCACATTGTTCCAAGTAACTAAAGGCAATACATGTTAGCTAATTTATCTTCAATTTCGTCACTCTTGTCTAAAAGTGTATCAAAAAGTATTTTATCTTGTAACGTTATCAGTTATAATTGAATAATTTAGATATCGCTTTATCGCTTCTCTTCCATGTTATTTAATTACACGTTTACATTTTCAGAAGAAGACCTCAAGTATAGCGAGGAACGCGCCTCTCTACAAAGCCGTCTCGACGACACGTCGCAGATGCTGGGACGGCTGAAGCAGGTCCAACACGAGCGTTTGTCGGCACCGCCACCGGCCCACCTGTCCAACGTTCCCAAAGCACCGGACGCAGAGGTAATGTTGGCCGAGAAGATCACCGACAATCTCACTGACATAGCGAAGAAACTGCCGCCGTCGGGGATCGCGCCGGTCGACGGATTGCGTCGAGCGATGGGCATAGCACCCTTGGGCGGACCGGAGCCCATGGAGGTCGAGCCGATCACGCACAACCCCGCCATAGTCGCCGACAGCTCGTTACTGCCGAATCCGAACAATGGCAACAATCAGGTGCTGTCGAACCTGTTGCCGGCCCCGTCGCCAATTTCGAACGCGAGTCTACTGAGCCCGGCCGGTCAGCCGAGTCAGAGTATCGGTATCGTGGGCGCGAATCAGCCGCCGCCGCCGCCGATTCAGATGCAGATCGGTATGACGCACAGCAGTCAGACGCCACCGTCTTTACTCAGCGCGTCGGAACCGTCCGGCGTGGCTGATCTCGAGTCCGAGCTGCGCGAATTCCTAGAGAGCGATCCTACGCTGGGCCACTCACCTCTCCATGACGACAAAACACTGGAAGACATCCTGTCTGAATCTTAGTGCGCGCGCGGTAATCCGAAACGTAATTTATAAATAGATAAATATATATATATATATATATATTATAAATATACACAGAATTCTGTACATTTTCTTATTGATACGCTACTTTCGCATGTACGATTAATAAATGATCATATCCTGTGTCTGGTTTTAATCACTTTGCTTTTCATTTCTGAGTTCTATTTCATTTTCTTCGAAGGAAACGTAAAGTTAAATTAAAGTGCAAAGAGATTACTGAGCAAAAGTAAAGTGTTTATCTCCTAGTATTCTTCGTCGTCACTTGTACCAAGTCTGTTGTTAAAATTGTATCTCGGTCATCTAGATTGACTATTTAGTTCGTAGCTTGGCGAGTTTCTGCCGTAGCATACCTTTTTGGTAGGACCGGGGGAAGCTCAACCGTGTGACGGAGGATTAAAGAAAGAAGGTCCGAAAGAAAGAGGGACTTTTAGTGGATAGTTCGTTTCTCGATGCGACGAGTAAAAAGATTCGCCAAAGTATTTGGAACGCAGATGATTTTCGGCGACATTTTTGTTCTACGGTCCGTAAAGTGCAGAATAATGAAAATGTTCCTTTATTTCTTTGTAGACACGTATCTATTATTCCGTGCGCACTAGCTCATTTGTTATGCGATGCCCGTAACGTTGGAATGTAATTTACATATATCGATACCCGATACGGCCGTATTATCGGAACACAATGCCGGTCCCGTATGCGCTATATACCGAAAGGCACATAAAGGAAATGCACAATGATGCTATCGATTACTGATAAGTGCAGCCGCTATCGCTGTATTCTCTCTATATCAAAAGCGTAATGGGAAGACGGGTCCGGCCAGCCGCGATGGGTTTCTCCCGTGGTCGAAAATGAAATCAATCACGGCGTGTCCGATGAAGCGGATAATGCTACGAAATGCGTCATATACCCCGCAATGCGCACTGCCCGCTCATATTCCGCGAGCGTTTCCAAGTTTCGGGGAGATTTAATGGGCGAGTCAATTCGCGAGGGCGAGGGGTGAGAACTTTGGAATTACGGGCGGAGGTGTAGAAACTCCGAGCGTTTCCACGAGGATCGAAGAGATTACGATCGGAGAGTTTGAGACGCCAATTTTTTCGTTCGCGGATTTGCATCTCGTTATTCCTACCGAAAAATTCTTTGCGAAGAAGCGCGCGACTTTGCATTTCGGTTTCATAAACGGCATAATACGATTTTACATAATTCATCGAAGAATAGAACGGGATCTTATTTCAACTCAATGTGAGAATAATTGACGAAAACGAAGAAACATAAACGTCTCTACGATAGCAGTTGCACGAATCCGCCCACGTGGGATAGTATCGGTTTCGAGCGTTGTAATTTTGTCGTATAACGTGCGTTTGTATACGCAAATTGCGTAATTCCTTTCCCATAATCGGGTTCTGTATCGCGGAGATCCGCCCGACAGCGCGGATTACGCAAATACGGGAGTTTATTTTTGGAAATCAGGTGGCCCTTCGCGCCACGTGCTCTTTCAACTGAGTTTAATGACAAAAATAGCTCGCCGTGCACGAAGCGTTGTCGCACCGACATCGGGTTACACACCGCTGTCAGAGATAAAATTGCAATGAATATTAATTCACCGTGAAGCATTTATTATGCCACATACCCCGCATAAAGCGTCGAACGAATTTATAATTATCCCGTTCGCAGGGTTGGGTGAGTTATCTTATTTTTTTTTAACTAAGTTAAGTTAAAGCTAACAGCCGTGAAAATTTAACTTAGTTAAGATACAAAATAATACAATTTAATTGAATTGAAAGTTAAGTTAATATCAATTGTTAACCAGAGGTTTATAGTTGACTCTCTGTCCCTTCTCAGATAATAACATAGAGAAAGGCGCAGAGTCGATTCTTCTGGTTAATTGTTAACCACAAGTTAGTCGACTCTCTATCTTTCTATACATTATTATTTGAAAGAGTTAACTAAACCTCTGGTTAACAATTAACCAGAAAATGAAAAACCGGGCCTGAGAGAGAAGTAAATTAAAAGTTAAAAGTTACCGATAAAATGTAACTAAATTCAGTTGAACGTTAACAGTCCATAATGTAACTAATTGTAAGTTAGAATTATTTAACTTTTATCTTTTTGACTATAGACACTACCCAACCCTGCCCGTTCGTATATTTAAGGCTCTCTCTCGACGCAACTCGGAAACAATGTTTCTCGGTCTATTATCAAATTGCAATCTTTTCTTCCCCCCCCCCCCCGGGTAAAAGAAGCGAGGAACGACGATCGGTCGAATTGCTAAAATACGCCTTGCAAATCCGCAGCCCTCGCTATACTTTACACGCATATAGTTAACGCTCCACGCATCGCAAGGCGAGGCGCAAAATGTACGGAACGGGAGATAATTTTACGATACCGAAGCGCGAAATATTCGGTTGTAGTTTTCATTCAAATACGTTGTACAGTTATTAGGAACGCGCTTTTCTCTCACGCGGTGTACACAAAATTCTCGGAATCGCTCGGAATGTATTATTGTAAACAAATCGACCGGCCGAGACCTTGGAGACTCGAGCCGCCGCGCGGCAGCGGCGGCGGCGGCGACGGCGGCTCGAGCCGCCTACCGCTCGCATTGCCCTTCGGGACGCGGCAGCGGCGAGACGCGTGCGAGACTCTCTGCGAACAATCGGGAAGTATCGGCTGGCACGATGGATTCGCTTCGCCGTGAGCGACTTCGTAGGCATCTCGCGGCGACGACTCTTCGCCGAAATAGGTAATCTCGCGCGTCTTGTTCGCGCGAGACCAAAGTCGCGGCTGGATCGCCGGAACTAAGCGATGGGAAAATTGTATCGCTCTGCGGCGGTTACTTTCTCAGAGACTTGTATACATTGTTGTCGCGCTTCTCCTTGCCGAAGTCCACGTACTTGGACGACCGTCTTTGCGGACTGAAACGAGCCGGAAAACGGTGGATATGCATTAATCGCGCATTTCTGGAACGAGATCTCGTCGCGCTTCGGCCGACCATGTTGCATCGCGTCGCGTCGCTCTGAAGTTGCCGTCAACGCAAAAGGACGAGTCGAGCGGCGCGTCTGGCGACAAGTACGACCGTCATCGGCGTCGTGTCTCGATAATTAACGGCTCCGCGGCGCGAGTTAAGTACGTATATCTACTGGCGACCCGCTGGACGTGCGTTTCGCAAGATTTACGGCCCGGGATCCACCGTCGCGAACGCGAGACGACGCTCGTTCTCTACCGAACGTCGCGTCCCGCGGGTGTTTCAGCTTCGATTTCGCCTCGGACGCTCGCAGTTCGGTTGCAACGCGCCGCGGCAATTCTCCCGAAAGTAAGATCGGCGACAGGGAACGCCGTAAGGAGTGCCGGTTGTCGTTTGAAGCGCGAAACGGGCGTGCGCAGCGCGGGTGCCGAGTCGGGTGGCGCGTGAAGTTGGCCGCGCGATTTACGAACGCCGTCCGCCATGTTGGGGACCAACGGTTCGCGTTGATCGACGAGCGAATCTTCGCGCCGCGTCTACCGTTTTCTCGCTCGCGACGCGACGGGGCCGCGCGCGTCGGGAGTGCCGTGCAAAGTGGCGCGAGTGATGAGTGCGCGATCGTAATTACGTGCGCGCGAGTGAAGTGATGTGCGACGACACGGAGGTCTGAGAGGAGGACGAGGCCCGGGGTGGCGTCGGGCGCCGGTGGAGCAACCACGGGTGAGTGATTCATTGCTTCGTTACTTGTCACCTGTGGAATTCGCCGTTTATCGTGGCGTCCTGCGCGGCATTTCGTATTGTTGTCGAGTTTAAGCGCCCCAGATCGTTTCGAGAAACAGGTTGGCGCGCGTGCCACCGTAATTTTTATCACGTCCGAGTTTTTACGGAGAAACACAAGGCTCGTTTTCTGTTGCTACACCAGCGAACTAGTGCAACAAATTGGAGTGAGACAAGCATATTGTTTTCTCATTCTAGCTTACTGTACTAGTTGACCAGTGCAGGAACAGAAAACAAACTTATAGAGAGCACCCCCCACGCGTTTAACGTTTGTAATTATTTTAACAGTTTTTTTTATTTGTATTTTATTGAGAAAGAAATTATTTGTGCATTAAATTTCGCAAAAGTCAGATATCTGAGGAACGAAAAGTCGAACGCACGCCGTGATGTTTTTTTACAATTATTAATTACTTTGAATTACGGTTTTAATTTGGCTGATTTTCGTGTTTTACAGATTAACATCGTGTGCGGATCGTAACTCCACTGCTGCGCATCGTATCGGTGAGTTTTAATTATTTTTATCCTAATAATGGATTGATGAGAATTTTATGTGAGATAACAGCCTTTCTTTCAAAAATTATTAGCGCATAGTAATTTAAATTTTCAAAAAGCACATACGCATGAAAAATAGAAACGAAATATACAATATGTCATTTATGCTGTTTGATATCGGAACGCATTATTTATTCCTGTGGCTTTAATCTCTCTAAAACGTGTGTACCTAATAAATAAGAATTTATATTAAGAATATGAGAAAATATTACAGATGAAACAGTATCTCATAAATCCATTATGCATTTTGAAATGGACGGGCTAGAATAAATTTATACCGCGTCACTTAATAATTGTCAGGTTTTTGCTTCTCTTTGCAAGTGTACATAGATACAAAGCATATACATTTATAAAGTAGAATTTGTTATAATTAAAGTATTGCATATTGCTTTGAACATTTCTCGTCAATTTGTTTTGTAGAATTTATTTAATAATAAAAACGAGAGCAATTGCACTTATACTTACAATACACTAAATCGTTTGCATAGCCCATTCATTTATGTTTGTTGAATGATTTGAATATACGCTTCGAAACGAAACAACGTGAAACGTGAGATCCCACGCCCTCCCAATATTTCATCGCGAAACGAGAAAGATTTTTTTCCATTGTATTGCATTAAAGAATTAATCAGTTATACGCTCGCGTTTGTTGCATTCAAATAATTTGAAAAATTACTTTTTATTATTCTTCATTCTGTCATTATTTAAGTAATTGTTAATATATTGAAAATGATTCTGTATAATTGCCGTCATATATTGAATAATTCCAATTCTATCGGTAACACAGTAACGAGATATTTATTTTAACACAAACATCTATTTATTTTATCGAGATATAAGAAATTTATACTCAC